TAATACCTCTTCCGATTTTAAATATACGAGTTAATTAGAAGGTTTATTTTGATTTTAAATATAAAATTTTAATTCATCTTGTCTCTCAAGTTTCTATTTTTAAAAAAAATTATACATATTAAATACATATGTTAAAGGAGTTTCTAAATTGAGAGATGAGTTTAATGCAAATAATTAAGAAAAGGTATTCTTAAAAACTCAACACACAGTTTTAATGAATAATTAATTTAACTAATTTTTTTTAATCTCTGTAAATTAATTTCATACCTCCTGTACTAGGGACAGGAGAGTAACTAATTTTCAGAGATTAAAAATTAATTAAGTTAGTTATGTATAAAAAGTTGTATGTTAATTTAAAAAAAAATACTTTTTTTAATCATTTGCATTGGAAGTTGGAACCATCTCTTAATGAAAATCTTAATGAATGGGGATAGCATGAGAAAACAAAGTTATATATTTAAAAGATAAGTGAATTGAAATCTTATATTTAGAAGTAAAATAAACCTCTTAATTAACTCCCACATTTAGAATCTCATTATAAAACATGATAAATGCCGAACTTGAATAATCCATATTATAATCTTTTTTTTTTATATAATCATCCATACTATAATTGAATGACCAAAATTTATTGTTATTTTATTTTTGTATTCTTAACCCACAAAGATATGACGTTGAAAGTCAAATAATGAAACCTTGTCTAACCCACCTAAACTTTCATAAATTAAAGAAACCTTCTCTCATTTTTATACGTCACTCGTAGATATTGTCATAATATACAAATTTTGAAGATTCAGCATTTCTATTTCTAAGAAAAATTAATGACCAATAGATGAATAGAAAAATCGTAACATCATAAAATGAGGCCCAAATTATTATATAATACCAATCTGAAAAATATGCAAGTTAATAACTTAAGAATATATTATAGTTAATTTCATTGCAGCCTAAAGAATTGTCGTTCCTTCAGTTTACAGAAACAGGCATTAATTAATTTTATATTTTGCAAGTCAACAACTTAAGAATATTAATTATCGTGCCCTTGTATAAGATACTATTAAAATGCATTACACGTTCATGTTATAGTTTTATCTCTTGTTAAAATCCCTCATTCCAAGCTTAACCAAAGGTCTCGAGTTCGAGCTTTGGGCATGTAGCAGCGTTAAATACTTGGTGGTAGGCTAGCTGTCCTTGGGGTCCTGCAACGGCCGAATCCGGATTAATCCAAGCCTGTTGAGTTTCCCGTGACATAGAGGCTGGCTTGGGATACCGGGTGAAGTAATTCAAAAAAAAATCCCTCATTCCAACCAAAATATTATTCAAGTCAGAAAAACAAAAATATTATTAATCATTTAATCCTCCAATCTTAAAATGTAAAAACCAAATAATTAATTTATAAAAATTTAAAAAATTAATTAAATTAGTTATTTATAAAAAATATATGTTAATTTTTTGAAATATTTATTTAATAATTTGCATTAGTGACTGCCCATTAAAAAACTCCATAAAAAGTGTAACTAATGAGAATAATGCGGAGAACAATTAGAAATTTAAAAGACAAATTCAATTGAAATCTTACATTTAAGAACAAAGCAAACATGTCCCATTATTTTTATATTAGGATCGAAAGAATATTATTTATCCAAAATACTCCATTTGAGTTATTACTTTTGGTTTTTAATATAAGATTTAGTTGATTAATTAGGAGAGATTAAAAAAGTTATGAAATTACTTAATTATAATATATGCTGCATAATTTCTCTAAAATACTGATATGTATTATTAGATTATATATCAATTTATAAGCAAGTCAAATTAGTTTAGAGAAAAACGATAAATATAAATACTTTAAAACAATTTAATAACCTTCTTAATCTTCATAAACTAATCATCTGAGTGTTATATTAAGTAGTAGTATTTCAAATCTAAGATACTCTGTTTGACTCCATGTGGCATGCAGATGAATAAAGATAAACATCATATAAGGAAACCCTTTTTGATTTTACGAGACACTGAGTATTCTCATAATATATATCTGCAAGCTTTTTAAAAGGGAGAATCAATCCACTCTGAGAATTCAACATTGTAGAAAATCTTTTAGTGATGATCCTAAGTTAAATCTTTCGTTTACTGGAAAACAAAGAATTGGCACAAAAAGACATAACAGGCATCTGGATGGAATCTATCATTTAGGAGCATTTGGAGGGAAGATTGTTGAGAAGTCCACATCATATTTTTAGTGATTGATGTCCAAATTTAGTAATTGAGCGTGTTTTGAATATGATTACCTCTAATATGAGGATAGCTAGATGTAGCAACAACAACAAAAAACAATAGCCTTACTCCACTCCATGGGATTTAACTACACAAACCTCACATGACGCTTTTGTGTCCTATCAATCCAGAGTGAATTTGACAATCTTGCAAGAGTGCATGTTAAAACTGTGGACAATAATGGGGTGTTTACAAAATGTCAAATATTTTCATTCTCATCTTTTAGTCTCAATTTAAAATCATGTTTTTTTTTAATACAGTCTTCATTTTCAAGAGTCATGTTTTATCATTTCCAGCACAGATAAATATTATTTTAAATTAAATAATATATATAAAAATATGGGCAAGGCATTTACGGGTTAGTGAGGAGCAACCATCCCCTTATCAGCCCCCTAAAATTAATTATTACTTTAAATGGAAAAATTGCAACAACAAAAAACCGTCAAAGTAGAAAAATTGTAAATAGGAACTCATTACAATATTAATGTGTTTTGACAACAATTTTTGTGAACAAGTCCTTATGTGCAATTCTTTAATTTTGGCGGTCTTTTTTTTGCGATTTTTGCTACTTTAAATGGCCAAACCTTGTGCATTATAGTGATGCTACACTGGGTGGTCACGCAGGGATGTAGACCTCACATTTCATATTTAAGCCAGAGAAAGCCATGACTTTCAATTAGTAATCTCTCATGTCCTTTTTATAAGTTCCAATAATTTTTTAATTGTGTCTGGTTCTTTCTATAAACTATGCTATATAGATGTCTCAATGAGAACCGGAGGGAGTAGTCACCAAATACTAGATATTTATATCAAAAGAAAGATGTCTTAATATTGTTAATCAGATAATTCCCAAGAGGCTGAATGTATCATGAGAGAGTAGCCACGTGTGACATACCCAACGAGACTATTAATAGTAAAAGAAGATTTTTTAGACGGCAAGAAGGAGAGTGGTCAATGCATCATATCCTCGATCTGTATCAATGGGAAAGACTTCAGTTTTGAGTGAAACTCTTCGCACTTTTACTCTCCTGTGCTTTTATTTTGTACTTTTCCAACGTTGTCAAAATTTGGTTTAGGCATCTGATGGGACTTGGTTGTTGCATATCTTCAATTTCGTTATGCAGTTACGTAGACTAGGAATATGTTACGTGTTCAGTAACTGTTCCGGTTTTCCCCCTCTTGTGATTGGTGTGATTTTTCTTTGTCTGGCAGTTACCAGGTGGCTATATCTGACTGGGAAAAAGGAATAATCATGCCGTCAAATCTGGGTACCATTTCGTCTCACGGAGCTTTCATATATATCAGAATGATTAAAGATTTATTCAAGGAGAAAAAAAAATCATATATGAAATTAGATCCCAACAAGCTTATTGGAACTAGAGTAAGGCTCAGGGCTCAATAATGTTGTATGCTTATCAGCTTATACCACCTCAGGTATTTAATATGAGAACCAGTTAACTAATTTAGAAAAATTAAAAAAGCTACTAAATTATTTTAAAATATTTATATTCGTTGTTCTTTTTCAAACTACTTTGTCTCACTTATAAATTGATATATAATCTAATTTTACAAAGATCACGTAATATATGCTATATTTAAGTAATTTATTAACTTCTTTAATCTTCTTAAGTTAGTTAATTAGGTCTTATATTAAAAACCGAAAGTAGTATTTATTTATCTATCAACAAAATGTTTCCATATCACTTTAAAGATCATTAGTCACCCCAAAGCAAACAATTAGAATTGGGATTTTTTTCTTGAACGTCACACCATTCCAAGCCAGCCTTATAAAGCTATTCTCAACTTGAAAATAGACCTAGACGCGTGTATGGTTTGAGCAAAGCCACCACGCCAAACCAAAAAGTATAATTGTTTGTTTTTAAAACTAAACACACACACACATACTCATTTTATATACATCTTGTCTCTTTAATATGTGTACATCCTTTCATATCTCATGCATCATACAACTTGTAGTTAATAATGCAGTTCGGGAATTATTGGAATCACAAGGCTATTCTTGTATAAGGCTAATCATGAACACAGTCTCATTCAATATATGTGATAGGCCATTATGGAGTGAACTTGCTTTATCATTATGCATCTCAGCTTTGTCCGACATCAGATCCTGAAGCTCAGATGAAAACGATTGAGGAGGGTGAGGGTCCATACATATCATTCCTTCTTTGAAAAAAATGATATTCATCTCTTTAAAGTTAAGCTAATAATATTAAATCTTACTAACTTACAAAATTAAAAATAAATCTTTTAAGAAAATTCCAAGCAAGAACACAAGCAACAAAACAACTAACGCACAAGTTTACCAAAATAAGTTTTAGCACATGACCCAAGTCAATATAGATAGATCTAAGCTAAACAGTATCATTGGATTTCCTTTTACTGTTAACTTTAATTGATTTTCATTTTTAAACTTGTTTTTGGGCACAGGTTATGTTGTTTGCAAGATATTTCTGTCGAAATGGATTTCATCCAGGATCTTAGTTCTGGTAATCATAATTTTGCAATAAAAAGATGATAATATGATTTAGCAACCAAAAATGGAATCTCAAAATAAAGAGACACATAAGTTCTCGAGGAAATCTATCTTATCAAGTAAAATAAATTTATAATAGATGTGTTACACATCTTGTCCATCTTGACTAGTTGTTCTTAGTAGACACAACTGTTCCTATAAATTCATCCTCTGCAATTCAAGTCGGCCAAGTTCTCTTCCACCTTCCTCCCTTATAACAGACACAGAAAATAGAAAATATTCCATGGCTTCCCTTCTTCATCCACCTGTAGCACCAGATAATAACTCTAAAGTTGTAGAACTACAAACCAGTCTAGAGTTTATTACTACATTTGAGAACACGGTGATCCAGCCAACAGATAGAAGCAAAGGTACTCAGAGAGAGGATGAGGGGGTTTTCACGACATGGGAAGACTTGTGGGTGACTGTTGGAAGCGGAAAGAGTAAAAAACCAATATTGCAGGGTCTGACTGGGTATGCCAAGCCAGGACAGCTTTTGGCCGTAATCGGTCCTTCAGGATGCGGCAAAACCACACTCCTTGATGCTTTAGCAGGTTCCACTTTTTTATGACACCCCCCTATATGAATCTCAAAGTAAATAATATACTGGATGATACTGTTTTTGCATTGCTTCCAATTTCCAAATGACGTTCAAGCATATTTTGGGCATTTTCAGTTTGGAATTATCTTTAACTTGATGTTCAGTTCTCCTGTTTAGAGTAGTTTGATAACTGATGTGAAAACTACAAAATAATCCTGCGCAAAAGAAGGACCATGCTATAGAGATCAAGTTTGAAGGTGTTTATTAGTATCACATGTTTTTTCTCTTGATGCTAAGGATTAAAGGGAAATTAAGTGTAAGGCAACTAACTTTCTATCATTTGCTGAGTTGATTAATTGGCTTAAGACTTAAGCAGTTGTAATGCAAGCTATTAATTATTATCGCAGGAAGATTAGATTCAAACATGCAGCAAACAGGGAAGATTCTAATCAATGGACACAGACAAGCACTAGCATATGGAACATCAGTAAGAAAATTCCGAAAGCTATGTCCAAAAGATTTAAGTAAGAGTGTCACTGACCTCACTCCCTCCCCCTGCAAAAACAGGCATATGTCACCCAAGATGATGCTATGTTGTCAACCTTAACAGCCGGGGAAGCTTTATATTATTCATGCCAGCTCCAACTTCCAGATTCAATGTCCATGGAAGAGAAGAAGGAGAGAGCGGATTCTACACTCAGAGAAATGGGTCTACAAGATGCCATCAACACAAGGATTGGAAGGTGGACTTCAAAAGGCCTTAGCAGTGGACAAAAGAGAAGACTTAGCATTTGCATTGAGATTATAACACGCCCGAAACTTCTATTCCTCGATGAACCAACTAGTGGTCTTGATAGTGCAGCTTCTTATTATGTTATGAGCAGAATTGCCAGTCTAAACATAAGGGATGGCATTGAAAGAACAATTGTAGCATCTATCCATCAGCCTAGCAGTGAAGTTTTTCAACTTTTCCATAATCTCTGCCTTCTGTCTTCTGGTGAAACAGTATATTTTGGCCCTGCATCTGAGGCAAATGAGGTCAGAAACTAGAATCCTTATTTACGTCATTAAATATTTCCAAAAAAGCACAAGAAAAGCTGATTTTAAATTGACTTCCGAAGCTCTGCTTTGATTTATTGTAGTTCTTCGCTTCAAATGGTTTTCCTTGCCCAAGCCTCTACAATCCTTCTGATCATTTCTTAAAGATCATAAACAAGGATTTTGAGCAGGTAAGCTTTTTACCCTTGCTTGGATTTAAAGTGAAACCTACAGCAGCACACTCAAACCTTTTGGATGATGCTAGAGAAAACATGAATTTACTTTTATCACTTCCAGGATCCTGAAGAAGGCTTTGGTAAAAGAGTAACCACAGAAGAAGCGATTAATATCCTTGTGGAGTCCTACAAGTCATTTGAAATTCGCAAACAAATTCTGAAGGAAGTGGAAGACATAAGCAAAAGTGTAAGTTTAGTGTTACATTCATAGCAAAAACCATAAAACAGCAAGGATGCATAATTTTTCAAAATTCAACCACCAAGAAGACTGAAATCCAAGAAATACTAACTTCTAAATAAACTACAGGATTCTGATGCATTTGGGAAAAAGAGAACCCATGCTGCATTCGTTACCCAGTGCCTTGTTCTTATAAGAAGATCTTCCCTGCATATGTACCGGGACATAAGCAATTACTGGTTACGTCTTGCTGTGTATGTTGCAATAGCTATAAGTCTGGGTACGATATTCTATAACGTGGGCTCAAGTATTGAATCTATTCAGGTTAGAGAAGTAAAGCAATACATTTATGTGTGGCTCTTAATGCACAAAGTTTGCTATTAATATCTTCCAATGCACTCCAGGCTAGAGGATCGCTGCTCACATTTTTTATTTCAGTCCTCACTTTCATAACCCTTATCGGTGGATTCCCTCCATTTTTAGAGGAAATGAAGGTAATGTTTTGTTCTCATGGTCTAATCTTTGAAAGAAAAAATTAAACGTGTCTTAGTTTCAAAGCATTGCACTTTAACCAGATGAGTTAGTCTGCTTTCTAAGAAAGGTGGTATTTTCTCTTAATATTAACCTCAGTTTGACTCATCAAAAAATAAAAAGGAAATCCTAAAGTATCCTATAATCAACTGAAGAAGAGATTTAATCCAGAGCAAAAGGCAAAGCTTCAAATGCCAACAAAAACCAAAAGCAGTACACTTTTGCATTTGAGCTTCTATTACATGACCGTAAATACATTATCCTATAAGTGTTGTACTCACTATCACTTCTTCTCGTCGTCGTGTCAGGTATTTAAACGAGAGAGGTTGGATGGACACTATGGTGTTACTGGTTTTCTGATTGGCAACACATTATCTGCTATTCCATACATGCTACTGATATCTCTGATACCTGGAGGAATAGTTTATTGCCTTTCTGGCCTGCACAAAGGACTTGAACACTTTTTGTTCCTGACTTCTGTGTTGTTTGCCACTGTTATGTCTGTTGAGAGCCTCATGATGGTTGTTGGGAGCTTCTTCTCCAATTTCATAATGGGGATGATCATTGTCGGTGGAGTTCAAGGAGTCATGATATTACTTGGTGGTTTCTATAGACTGCCAAACAATCTCCCCAAACCATTTTGGAGATACCCTTTATATTATGTTTCATTCCACAAGTATGCCGTCCAAGGGTTGTTCAAGAATGAATTTGAAGGTTTAACATTTGCCAGTGATCATGATGGAGACAGCAAAACCACTACTGGCAGGGAAATTCTGACAAACACATGGCAAGTGGAAATGGGCTACTCTAAGTGGGTTGACCTTGCAATCCTGCTTGGAATGATTGTTCTATATCGGCTTCTATTCCTGGCCATCACTAAGACCAAGGAGAATGCAAAGCCTATGGTTGCAGCTATTGGTTGTCCCCCAAGCAAAATCATGGTGACCCGCAGAGATTAGCACAATTAGACACCCAATGTCACATTTTAAGGTAAAAAAACAATAGGTTGGTCAGGGGTAGCGTGTGTTAGTGTTATTTTCTTCCTAAATTACGTAAGATATTGTTTGGACATGTCAAATTCCTACTGCAAGGGAGCAAACAACCAAGAAATTCTCAAGCAGTCACAATTTGTAAATATCTATGGGGAAAGTTAACTATAAGTCAACATGAGTGTGTCAAAAACTTCTGATATACTTATATGTCTATATATAAATACCTTGATCAACATTTTGTTTTATATATATTCCCCAAACCTGTATGAGAATTTCTTCCATAAAACCCACCCCAGCCGGCATTCTCCAATCAATCAGCACTCAGTGTAGCAGTTAGAAGACACACATTCAAACACCGTTTTTAACATTTCGATTTCCTACTTCCCAAATCGCAACCATTGCCTATAACTTGATAAAACCCGCAGTTACTGTCAAGGAATTGGACAAAACACAACTTTATAACCATTTGCAAATTACAAATAACAAATGACGATAGCCAATGAGAATACAATATAGCGAATTTACAACAATCTCATCATTAATGCATTATTTATTCTTTTACCAGCAACACAACAACTTTTAGAAGAAGACAAGATCATGAAGCGGAACTCACACTTGAGGGAACGGCATGGAATGGCCAACTCAAATGCTGCATTCCGTTGTCTGGGTAACGAGCTGTTGGGTTCTACCCTTAAACTAGGGGCAAGGAAGAAGGAACCAGAACTGCCAGTGAAGAATGTCATCAAATTATGCTTGATACTTCAATTCTTTATTTCCGTTTTTACATAATATTATGATTATGATATGATAAACAGTCTTCAAACTAATTAAACTAATCAGAAAATTAATTAAAATTCATACAAAATTATATATAGCTGGACGCAAATTGGATATATTGACCTTATGTGGTTTTCCTTTTCCTTCATTTTCGCATCGCCGATTACGGTCAGATGCAGATGGCAATCAAGGCACCAAGACGCCAAACACGCGCGGCGTAGAACCTCTCCACTGAAACTCCTCTCCACTTACCCTCCATTTAATTAAATCGCAGCGTTTAGGATGAAAAACAGCCAGGGCAATTTTCTCTTTTTAATCTAGAGTCGTGCGTTGCAAATTAATTTCAATCTCCCCGTATTTTTCCAGGTGAGCGGGAAATTCATAGTTTTGCCTCCGAAAACCATCGCAGGTCGTACGTGGGAAGAAATTGTCGAAAGAAGAAGGGCGTTCGCTAGTTCTCACTCGTATTCGTTGGCTGCTTTCTTCTCTGGGCATCTACCTCTGTTTTATACGTCGCACGTTGAGCTAGACATATTGCAGCAACGCCGGCAGATTGTTACTAGGAAGGTGTTGGCTGTTACATTGTTAATTATATATTGTGCAATATATGTAACTTGACAGGTCCCTGTTTATGCATTTTATTATCAATTCCAATTCATAACAAGTTTTCTTTTTGGCCATAACAAACAGACTGAAAGTACAGCATTAAACCAGTAGAACAAAGGCACATAATAATGCTTTCTTGCTGTTTACAAACACACAAAAAAATTCTTTGTTACAGGAAGTTCAGAGATCAGCAATTAAGCCCCTACTCCGATAGCCAAAAAGGACCAGACGTTTTCATTTGAAATCAACAAGATTAAACATGTAAACAAGTGCACCTTGAGGAAAGTGAGTAAATATGATGCAGAACATGCTGGAATCTACTTTAAAAACACTTCAAATACAAATAACAAAGCTTGCTATAGAATTGTATATTATATAATGATTCATGCCCCAACCCAACATAGGCAAGTTGATCACCAAAAACCAAAGCTCATGCTGGATTTTGATCGGGTTTGTAGCCTTTATCTGGTTGTCGATGTTTCTAGAAGAGTCATGAAAAAATGGTAGAAGGAAAGATCCTCACCTCAATCAATTTCCGAAATCTCTATTTGAACGAACTCTGATGTTATCCTGAATAATTCAACCATCTGGTGCCTTATCATGCTGTAGTAGATTCTCTTATGACTTTGTTATTGTGAAGATTTAGGCGCTCGCCTTCTGCTCAATTGTGCTTGCTGAGGCGACCGCGGGCGACAACAAAAAGCACGGTGATGAAGAATCCAGAGGCTGAGCGCCGCGCTGAGCCGCATTAAATGCCTGAGAGCACAACTGAACCGGCCTGAGACGCATAAGAAAATGGGTTTTTAAACCCAACTTGTTTAGCCCAGTTTCGTTTTTTTTAGTACGGTTTTGAAAGATTACTTCTAATGAGGGAGTATATTTTTTATTTAGATATTATTTTAATATGTTTCACAATAACTAATTTATAAATATTAGGAATTATCACCTAAGCTTTCAAAATTAATGCAAATAAAATGTCAAAATGTTGTTCCAACTTTCAAACCTAATACAAACCAAACATTAAATACTAATGATGCATACAAAGAGAGCTTAAACACTAATAACTTATTGTCAAAACTAGAAAAAAAAAAAAAAACTAAACAAAACAGACAAATCAAAACAATAAAAAAAATCAGTAAAAAATTAGCAATATCAACGTGATTATCATTTTCATATTTTTTATGTTATGTGCACCCTAGGCTTCGTCTCTGCTCCTACTGCTCACAATCTTTTAGCTTTTATTCATGACTTTCATAGTAACCCATTTTTGAAGTTATGCTCATTGCTACTTACATGTACCTGCTGCAATTCTTTTATCGCTTTATCTAACAATCGGTTGTATAGTTGTACTTTTCTTTCATTTTTTGCTTTTTTGCGTAGGTTAGGGTATGGGAAGGGGAAAAAAAAATTAAAAGCCTATTTAGAACAACTTATAAGTAGTTTATCAACTGCTTTTTAATAATGATTTATGGAACACGGAACAAATATGTAAGAAAAGTTTTGTCTCGATTTACGTGAAATTAGCTTATAGGGGATTTCCAATACTCTGCCAAACGGGGCTTAAGGAAATGAACTCTCAGTTAGCCAAAAAATTTTAGGTTGTGAGAATATCACCTTTTTTTTTTTTGTGTTAACATTAATACTTTCTTCTAGGTTCTTTCTTTCATATTTCCGAACCCGGAGAAGCAAGAGATAAGAGGGCCTTTTGGAGAATGTGGTAAAACAAAAATCCATAATAGAGTCTAACTACAACAATCAAATTGATTATCTTCAAACATAAGGATATTAGATTATGTATAAAAGATTTTAAAATCATCACAAACCTTCCTTTTTCTCTTCTATTGTAATTTCTAGATTAATATATGATTATTATTTTGTGGCCAAGCACATGCTTCTTACATTGAAGTATTGAACTAATTATTGTATTATAGCAATTGGGAAAAAAAAAATCATTAGTTTGCATTGTTTGAAGCTAACATCGTTGTTTTCAATTCACACTTCTTTTTCTACTTACGTAGCATGCTTCTATACACCAAAAATAATTGTGACCGTTGGATTTGATTCCAACTTGTATATAAACCCATGCGAGGTTCAATTCAAGGGCAAGTTTTTGTAAGTGAGATTTGGAGAGACAATGTCTTCGTAAGCTTCTTTCTTATCAAGCTTTGATATCACATATTCACTTCTTGTTCTTTGTCCAGATTGGGTGGACTATCAGAGGATTGAAATTTTATTGTCAAGACTTGCAACTTCAATAAGTTGACATAACTAAAATTATCAAAGTCATGAGTTTATTAATTGGACATAAATTTAGAATGTAAACTCACAAGAGTTTATTTAGAACTAGTTTCAATGCTCATCATCTTGATGAACACTCCAAACTTATCAGATCTGAATAGTCCGTATCTCATTTGGATAGTCTGAATTTAATTTTTTTCAATTTTTATTTATTCAAAATAATTATTTTAATATGTATAAAATCTAAAATAGAGATAATCTTTTAACTATCATTTTTTCAAAAAATAGTTTTTTATTTAAAAATAATTAATTAAAGATTTTAAATTTAGACCATTCAAATCAGATATAGATGGTTCAAATCTGATAAGCTTATGGTGCTAATCATTTTGATGAGCACTAAAACTAGTTCCGAGTTTATTTTTATCAATAAATAGCTGTTAAAAATATATAATTAACTAATTAAAATGCAAAAAATGACAATAATTTGGTTTAAATATACTTCAGATCTAAATCAACGTAATCAAATCCATCAACATTCATAGTTTTTTGATTTCGCACTCAACATACAAATTTATAAAAAGTCCATATATCAAAAGTTACTAAACATAACCTCATTTTAAAAGTGATTGATAAATTCAACCACAATTAAATGTTGGATTATCATTTCATATTCTTTACTTTCACCGTTGTAATTTCCACTTGTCTCATCTCCATCATCATCATCATCATCATCATTATTATTATTACTATTATTTTTTTTCCCCTAAGTTGATCATCCACTTCATCCACACCCTCTTTATTTGTTCTAGCAATCCATTCATCATTAAAATTAATATAAAAAACACTACTATTTTTTCTTTGTTAACTTCAAATTATAAGCATGACAAATGCTAAGTAATTCACCTTCTTTTCACGCAAATGGTTTTTTTTTTTGGACAGGAATCTAAACAAAATAAAAACTAAGTTAAATATTCAATAAAAATAGTCTCATAAAAAAATATTTATAAATAAAATATTTAAAACGAAAGTTAATGAAATGTCTTGTTGTATAAATAAAATACCATGTGTTCAAATGCAATCATTTTTATATATGCAGCGTGTTAAAACTAAGTAGACAAATTCATATAGAAATCAAAGGAAAAACTAACTGCTAAAAATGTCATATTTCATATTATTATATATACATGTGTAAAAAAACGATGTAACGTACTGTGCTATTTAGTTTAGACTCGTGAACATGGCAGTGTACTCGCGATTCTCTTTTTGGGAATAATAATGATAAATTACTTTAATAATTTACCCAGTCTTGATTATTTAAAAAAAAAAAAACAAGTGGGTTTAAATGGATTGGCTCGCCTTTGTTTTTTTTTTTTTTTGCTTTTGCTGTGATAAATGCGCTGGCTCTTTGTCTTACAAATTGATCTTTTTACTCTTGAGTAACCCCTAAAATACGAGATTATCTTCCAATTAAAGGGTGTGAACGGCCTGTCTACCCATTTTAATACTACTCCGGTCTTTAATATAAGATCCATTTAACTAATTTGATTAGATTAAGGAAGTTAGGTTAGTTAGTTAATTATAAGAAAAGTGACACATTTTTCCTAAAATACCATAATCATCTTTTTAATACCCTCTCTCTCTCTTCTACTTGATTATGGTTGAGGGAGTATCCATAGGGGTAATTTAGAGAAAAATTATAAATATGAGAAATGGGTCTTATATTTAGGACCAAAACTAACTCAAGAATTGGATCCTATATTAAGGACCGGAGGAGTAGCTTTTAATATTACCACTTGTGATAATTATAAAATTTTATTTATAGTTTATAAATAAAATTTTATAATTAGAAGAGGACGTAGTATATCATTTGTTTCAAAAGAGAAACCAAATTCAAGTTAAATAAAATTTAAGAAATAAAACTAAAACTATAACATGAGATTTTTATTTTTGTGACAGCGTGAGATTTTTTTATTATGCGTTAAACCTCGTTTTTGCCCAAATAAAAAATTTGTTGAGCACGGAAACAGGAGAAGGGGAAAAAACAGTCAGGGGAGGGTCAGGAAGGACTCGCCGCTTCTGAAGCAGGCGCTGGTGGTTCTCTGTGACGAAGGAGACATGGAAAATGACGACGTCGACATGCAAAGCGCCGAGAACAATGAAGCAGTAATGCTTCCTTCTCATCTAGTTTATTTCTTTGACTAAAACTCGGTTTTAATTTTGTGTTATTTGTGCAATCTAAAACCCTAATAAGGCCTTATTGAATCAATGTGAAATGCGATTGATGTAGGAATTGGATGACATGAAGAAACGTTTGAAGGAGATGGAAGATGAAGCTGCTGCTTTGCGAGAAATGCAGGCAAAGGTGGAGAAGGAGATGGGCTCTGTGCAAGGTGCTAATTTTTTTTTGTCTTGTTTAAAAAAAAATTAGTTTTTCTTTTAATTATAATATTCAATCATGTAGATTACTCCTTTCTTGCGGCGAAATTTGAGTTTATTTATTTACTGTGTTTCTTCATGCGAAATAATGTGTTATATGAGCATTGGGTTGAATTGGCCATGCCTAACTCAGAATCAATCCTAGTTTCCTCATTCTGAACCAATAATATGATCCCTAATTCCTTCTTCTTACCCTCTTAAGGTTTTTTCTTTTTCTCTTTTTTTTTTTTTGGGTGGGGGGGGGGGGAGTGGTCAAACCAGTTCTTACTTATGAGCTGGGAATTCAGAATTTGGTTGTCACTGAGGCATGGCAATCCATTGCGCACTATGCAATTGACTTGTTCATACTTCACAGGTTAAGAATTTGGGTTTGTAATGAAAAGTTTGGGGAGGAAACTCTAGCTTGGTTCTGATTTTTGAGATAAGACATTTCATGCACTTACTTGATCTGTACATATTCTCAACTTGATTCAAGCTGGACTATATTTAATTGGAAAAATAGATCATGAGAAGTTATCTTTTGTTGCTGAAATTATATTTTATCAGATCACATTCTTTTCTTGCTTTTGAATGAAAGAAGAAAGGATTTTTCTCTCTTTCTTTCTGAAAGGGGGCTTTTTTCTGTTCTCCCCCCCCCCCCAAATTATCATTCTTTTTCCCTTGTGCTTGGATGCTGCATATTTCTTGATAAATGACATTCAAAATAGTAAAATGATGATAATTGTGTTTTGTTTAATTGGTAATTTTCATTTAGCACACAACTATGTTTGTGCTCCTTCTATATTGATTCTTATCTCCTAATAGATCCCGCTAATGCTGCTGCAAGTCAGGCCAATAGAGAGGAAGTAGATTCTCGGTCAGTCTTTGTAGGCAATGTGAGCTCCCTTCCCCCTGTTTACATTATCAGTATCATTATCTGTTCTATTTCATTAATTGATTTATTCTCACCAGTCATTATTATTTTTTCCGCTTCTATCTAAGTTTCGTGATTTTAAAGGCCTTCTCCTCTTTGCAGTGAAGATTTGAAATAACACAGCACGGAGCTAGATAGAACTTAGGGTAATTGTAATAAGGCCTACTAAGAGATAGATGAGGGCAAAGGAGGAAAGGGGCAGAGAGTCTGTTGGTTAGATAACTAGTTTGATGTGAGAATTTAGTGACAAGGATTTTACATTGAAAGTTTTTCTCTCAGTAGTCACTGTGAAGAAATATAATAACCAGATTATGATACTTTGGACGCTAGAATAGGACTCACTTATTGATCACTGGAGGACCATCGTTCGAGATCAAATACCACAGTTGAATTTGGTATGTGATAAAGCAAATAAAAAAAAAAATGTGTCAGCAATCAACAAGTCAGTAGGTGGAGCCTACATTGCTCGCTAGTGGCCATTCTTAGGTTTTTTTCCTGATGCATGTTTCTTTTCCTGCATAGGTCAGCTTTTAGCAGGTTCTTGTTTGTGTTTCTTAGCCAAATTGTCAGAGTTCTGTGTCTGCTGGTGATGAAATTTCATTTCCTTCCAACCAATGACTGAATAATTATTGGATGGGATTTCACCACTCTTTCTTGGCAAATCATGATGTTCATAACACTAGTATGGAACTTTTAGAAGACTGAGCGTTTCATTTGTATCGTATGATTCATGTAACCAACATTCCTTAGTGGATAAGGCATGTTGTTGTTGATGTTGAATGCACTTCCAAAACTTTATTGTTTAATTTTGTTTTAATTGGTGGCAACTTGCTTTGACAAAATGTTTAACAACTATTTTGCTGCGTGCTGTCATCTATATGTTTTCTAGTTTATCAATGCTGCATTTCGAGGAGAAAAAGGTATGTCTATTTTTTAGTGGGAAAACAAATTTGACCCAAAAAAAAGAAAAAAAGAAAAGAGAAAGACGAATTGGAGGGATTGATAAGATTCTAGGAAGAACTTGATTTCCTGGTTCTGTGAAGATGCATATTTTGATAGAAAGAGAGAAGAAAGGGAATAAGGTACAAACGAATATGGAAAATGGTAAGAATTTTCAGTTAGTATACTTTCCGAGTTTTTGTAATGGAATGAACAGAGAAATTAGATTGGAGATCAAGAACCTGCATTCATACTGTTGAGAAGACCACATTCTTCAAAGTCCCAGTGACCACCTGCGGGCATCTTCCTAGTCGCGAAGCAAAAGGCAGCTCTTCGCCTGGAAGTATGCAGGTTTTCTTTCCTTATGGTGAGGGGACTTGACATTCTTTTTGTCTTCTGGGATTAGTGGGAGTTTCAGTGTTTCATCTTAAATTCTTGTTTGCTAGTCCTGTTTTATATAATTCACCAGAAAGACTAGAAAAATAACAGAGAAGAACGTGGTGAAAAGAAAAGTTGCTGGACACGTAGAGGACTAATTATCCAGACACTTAATTGTGGCTATTTTTCTGAAGTCGCATGATAAATTTGTGAGGTCTTCTTATTGAAGTACAATAGAAGTAGCTATTGACGAACTAGCTTTTCCTAAATTCACGGGTGTCCTAAAAAGAGAATATTCAGATTCAGAAACTGTATATAGTGACGGAGTTCCCACATCAATGATAGACTCAGTTTTTGACGATGTGATTTATTTTTTACTTTGTTATTCTCAAGAGACTATGGAGAAACTACATGCACATATATCGTTGCCTGGAAGAATGCTGGAGAGATTCTGATACAACCCATGCAATGGTCCAGAAATTATAGGAGAAACACCCCCTCACCTCTGTTAGCAGTGATGGGACCGATGCTTTATGGAACTAACAGTATATAGAAAAGCAGATTGGACCAGCTGGTCTGACTAGTTAACCAGTGAATTGAATCCTTGTCCACTCTGGAAACTCTTAAAAACTGGCTATGCAATGAGTTGGTCAAAGACCAGAAAAACTGGTCAAAGCCTGTAAAAACCGGAAAACTAGCTAACCAAATGGTTCATCTGGTTGAACCTGTCATGGTACTGAAGTACCAGTAGTCTGCTCTTCCTCCTTTTTATAGCCTCCCCCTCACTATTCTCCAGGTTCCATTCATGATGTGGGACTTTAGTTTTGACTTTTTACTTGTCCCTTTGCCTGCAGCAGCGAGACTTGATTATTGGGTGTTGCATGCCTTTCATCTAATGCTTCATTTTTAATTTCTGATGATTTGCTCTGATTAGCTGTCATTAATTCTCCCAAATAAGATTTTGATCTGGCTTGGTTTTCTGGTGCAATGAAACGCTAAGACCTCATGCTTCACTCTCTTCCACATCACAGTTCCAGCCCTTCCAATTAGCATTATGTGAAAACACCAGTTGGTTTGAAATGTGGAGGTGGAGAGGGGAAGAAATTCCATAAGACTCACCTAAGTGGCTGTGGCCATTCAAGCCTGCATACAAGGGGCTGAAGCGGTTGACGGCATGGTTGATTGTCTCCAAGCTTTTCTCCTCTTGCTTTTGGGTTGGGTGATAAAGCTGCTTTTACACAGAAGCAATTCATCCGTAGGGCAAAATGGCTTTACAAAGAAAAGGGAAACAACAATAAAAAAGGAAAAGTACACATTAGCTATTTTAGAAACTAAAATCCCTCATTTGCCTAAATTTTATCTTGTCATAGTCCTCTCATAGTCCAAGTTTTATTTACTCTTCCTTAATGAAATTCTAGAAACTTCCACCAAAAGCAGATGCATCACCACCCCCCCCCCCCAGGGGGAGCGGCCTGGGGTGGGGCTCTTCTCCAAACCACCTTGAACCATGCCCTACTGCATATTCCAGATTCTCCCATACTTTCTATGGATATTTATAATTTAGCAACAATTGACCAATAATATTGTGCTATTATCCTCGACCTCAAGGTTAGCGTTAACTGTTAAGGAATACTAGAAAAATTCTGGCTATCTTCTGATTAGATTTTTTTGGCTAAAATTGTTTTTTTTTTTTTTTTAATGTTTTATGGTATGTTGGATTTGAAATTCTTTACAGGTAGACTATTCGTGTACTCCTGAAGAAGTGCAGCAGCATTTCCAATCATGTGGAACAGTAAACAGAGTCACCATTCGTACTGACAAGTTTGGACAACCCAAGGGTTATGCTTATGTGGAGTTCCTTGAGGCAGAGGCTGTTCAGGAGGCGCTTTTGCTGAATGAATCTGAGCTACATGGGCGTCAGTTGAAGGTTAGAATTAGATTAAGAGTTTCTGATTAGTTTTAAACAAAAATGTAGTGCTTCCCTTATTCCTACCTCGGTCTTATTTTTGATAATTTCAGGTGACAGCCAAGAGGACGAACATACCTGGGATGAAGCAGTATCGTCCCCGCCGGTCCAATCCTTATATGGGGTTTCGAGGCAGAACCCCATATGCACCTCCTTTTGCCTATTCTCCATCTCCATATGGATATGGGTACGTTGTCGTGAGTTCTTACCTTCCCTGTGGGTTTTGGTTTCAATGCTACTGGAGACTTAATAATAGCCTCTTCTGTTGACTGCAGGAAAGTTCCAAGGTTTAGAATGCCAATGCGTTACAGCCCATACTATTGAAAATCCATTTCTGCAGAGACTGTTCTATTTGATCTATGAATGGACATAACGGTGCCTTTCTTCTTATGTTTCCCATTGGTGATGATATCTTGGGCATAAGATATGAAGGGGCTTTTCTGACCACCTCTCTTGATGTGGTCGGTTTGAGTATTAAACCATGATATAACAGTAAACTTTGTAAAATTGTGGCGTTTGCATTTACTTTGCTTTGGTATTATTTTAATGATGTCCTTTGTAAAAGTTGCCCTCGTAAATGTGGTCATATATTTTTCTTCTGGTAGTTTATTTTTTCTCCATGCACAAATCGCCTGGTTATAATGCTTTAAGCAGCATCTGATGATCAATAGGTTCTTCTATATGGAGGAAATGGGCAAATACTCGAGACCACCTCATGAGTATATTGTTTAAACAAAGAAAGCATGCATGACAAAATAAGATGTTACTTGTCTAGTTAACTAATTTGAATGAATTAAAGATATTAGTTACTCTTCTGGTCTTTGATATAAGATTTATTTAACTAATTTGATTAGATTAGGAAAGTTAGGTAAGTTAGTCAATTGTAAGAAATATGACATTTTTTCTAAAATATTATTATCACTCTTCTTAAATTCTTCTCTTCTTCTTCTATTTGATTATGATTGATCGAGTATTCATAGGGGTGATTTAGAAAAAATTGATAAATATAAGAAATATATCTTTATAGACACGGTAATATATGGAAAATATTCACTTGTATATTCTGGGTGTTGATGTACACTGTATATATAAGCAGAATGGGGATCGAGAGAGATTACAGATGAGATCGAGAGGGATTACAGAGATATTCTAGGGAATAAATCAAATTAAATCTGATTCCTATAATCCTCCTAATATCTCCGGAGATAATATTTCCATATATATATATACATATATAAACTACACTCCCCCTCAAGTTGGATCATAGATGCTAATCATGTCCAACTTGCTGATGAATTTCTCGAACAAGTCTTCAGGAAGCCCTTTTGTAAGAATGTCTGCAACTTGCTGTTTTGAGGCCACGTAGGACAAACATACAATCCCATCCTCTACTTTTTCTCTAATAAAATGTCTGTCAACATCAACATGTTTGGTTCTACTATGTTGTACTGGATTTAAAGCCATACTTAGAGCTGCCTTGTTGTCACAGAATAACTTCATCGGCTTGATAATTTGAACTTGAGCCTCCTCTGCTACTCTTTCCAACCAGAGACCTTCCATAATACCCTGAGCTAGGGCTCTCAATTCTAATTCTGCACTGCTCTTAGATACCACATTCTGTTTTTTACTTTGCCACGTCACTAGATTTCCCCACACAAAGGTGCAGTAGCCAGATGTGGATCTGCTATCTTCTGGCGCACCTGCCCAGTCTGCATTTGTGTAAATCTCCACTGTTCTAGACTCACTTTTTAAAGAGAAGTCCTCTTCCTGGTGTCCCTTTCAGATACTTCAAGATTCTGTAGGCTGCATCCATGTGTTTCTTTCTGGGTGAGTGCATATGTTGACTTGCTACACTTACCGCAAAAGCAATATCAGGTCGGGTGTGTGACAAGTAGATTAACTTTCCTACTAGTCGTTGGTATCTACCAGTGTCTACGGGTTCCTCATCTTTCTGTCGTTTTTCCTCTTTCTCAGCCTCTTCTTTGGTAGTTGCATTTTTCTTACCTCGGTTGGTGCTTTTCTTCTTGACACTCATTGGCGTTTTGATTAGCTTGCAACCAAGCATACCAGTTTCTTTTAATAAATCAAGAATATACTTCGTTGGGAGACATAGATTCCCCTTTTTGAACGTGCAACTTCCATTCCAAGGAAATACCTTAGTCTTCCCAGATCTTTGACCTTAAACTCTCGATTCAATGCTGTCTTTATTCTGTTTATCTCGGTTACATCATCACCTGTAACAATAATGTCGTCTACGTACACAATAAGAATTGCTTTTAGTGCTCCATTCTTCTTAACAAACGTTGTATGGTCAGACAGGCTTTGCCTATAGCCTTCAACTTTTAGAACGTTGGAGAATCTATCGAACCATGCCCTAGGAGACTGTTTTAGGCCATACAAGGATTTCTTCAGTTTACAAACTTGATTCTGTCTCCCTCTATCAAAGCCTAGGGGCAGTGTCATATAGACTTCTTCTTTTAATTCTCCATTAAGGAATGCGTTTTTGATGTCTAACTGTTGTAGAGGCCAATCCAAGTTGGCTGCAATTGATAACAGGACTCTGATCGTATTTAGCTTTGCCACGGGAGCGAATGTCTCATTGTAGTCTAGCCCATAGGTCTGAGTGAAACCCTTGGCTACCAATCGTGCCTTGAACCTGTGGAGTGTTCCATCGGCATTGTATTTCGGGGTAAAGACCCACTTGCACCCAACTGTTTTCTTCCCTTTTGGTAGATCAACCACTTCCCAGGTTTCATTTTTCTCCAATGCTACTCTTTCTTCCATCACAGCCTTCTTCCACTCAGGATGCTCAAGGGCCTCATGTATATTTTTAGGTATTCTGATTTGATCAAGAGTAGTGGTAAAAGCACAATAGTCAAGAGATAGAGTGGCATAGGATACATACTTCTGGATAGGGTGCATGGTGCAAGAGTGAGTCTTCTTTCTCAAGGCAATAGGCAGGTCCTCCTCATTCACTTCTATCACCGTTTCAGGGTCTTTCATTGGATCAGACTCTGGCAAAGCTCTGGGCATTTTGATCTCTATAGTTTCGTTATCTCGTCGCGTGTATACCTTGTTATATCTATTGTTGGTCTTATCTCCCCCTGCCTTTGGCACTTGCACAACGGTGGGAGGAATAGGTGTAGGATTACTAGATGGAATGGACACAACAGGTTGAGTTGGAGGTATAGGCTCAGGTACACTTTCTACACGCTGAAATTCACTCCAATTCTCCCCCTGAATTGAAGAAGTGGGAAAGTACGGGTCATGCTCAGAAAATAGGACATCACGGCTAACAAAGAGGTGTTTGGAAGTGGGATCATAGCACTTATAACCTTTCTGACCAGATGAATACCCCAAAAAGATACACCTAATGGCACGTGGGTCATGTTTAGATTGAGGGTGAGGAAGATGAACGAAGGCAGAACATCCAAAGACGCGTAGCGGAAGGTGATGATCAAGATGAGTGACAGAATGAGTTTCACGAAGTTTGTCCAAAGGAGAGACAAAAGAGAGAACACGGCTTGGCATTCGATTGATTAGATGAGCGGCTGTAAGAATAGCATCCCCCCAAAAAAATTTAGGCACATTGCATGTGAACAGAAGTGCACGGGCAACCTCAAGAAGATGTTGATTTTTGCGTTCGGCAACACCATTTTGTTGTGGGGTATGAGGGCAAGAGCTATTATGGACAATGCCATTGGTTTTCAGAAAAGAGTCAAGCTGGTGATTGAAATACTCAGTACCATTATCCGTGTATAAAACCTATATTGTGGTGTTAAATTGATTTTTGACAAGGTGAAAGAATTCCATGAAAACAGAGGGAACGACGGATTTTTCTTTAAGTAAGTAAACCCAAATCATTCGTGTGTGATCGTCAATGAAGGTGACAAACCATTTTGACTGGGTTCGGTTGGAAACACGAGACGGACCCCAAACATCGCTATGAATTATAGAAAACGGACGAGTTGGTTTGTATTGTGATGGCGGAAAAGGTGCACGATGGTGTTTAGCAAGTGTACAAGAATCACAATGAACAATGGAATTTTTATTAATGGATAAATGAGGAAACAAGCGTTGCAAATAAGAGAAACTGTGTGCCATAATAAAACATCATTATTGTTAGGAGTAGAGACAAGACCATGGATTTGCGAACACAAGGCAGTCACGGTAGAGACATCGAGATAATAGAGACCATTATGCTCCCTAGCTATGCCAATCATCTTCCCCGATGAGAGATCCTGAAAAACACAAAAAGTGGGAAAAAAGTAAGCACCACAATTTGCATGTTTAGTAATTTTGCTGATAGAAAGGAGGTTACAGGCCAAAACGGGGGCATGTAAGACAGAATTGAGATGTAATGAATCTGAAAGAGTAACCGAGCCTTTGCCGATAATGGGAGAGGCCGACCCATTAGCAGTTGTGATTTTGTCATTACCAGCGCAAGGAAAATAGGTAACAAACATACGAGCATCCAAGGTCATATGATCAGTAGCACCAGTGTCAACTATCCATTTATTGGACGAGAACGAGGTATGAAGAGCGAATGGAGAGGTACCTGTGTGAGCTATGGAGGCAGACGCAGCAGGGGGAGGTTGCTGCGTTGGGAGGCCTTTGAGAGCAGTAAGTAATTGCTGTAGTTGCTCATTTGATAATGTTGGAAGGGAATCAGAGGATTGAGAGGGTTCTGGTGATACCTAATAGCCTCGAGGTTTACCTTTTCGAGATTTCCAATCAGCTGGTTTTCCATGGATGTCCCAGCAGCGATCACGTGTATGGCCTGGCTTCTTGCAATGATCACAGGTGACTTTGGGCTTTGTGGAGGAAGATGAGGACCCCCCTCTACTGACAAGAGCAAATGAGTCAGAAACAGTGGAAGAGGCAGGGTGCAGCATAACGTCGCGACGTGAGGCTTCACGGAGTACTTCAGAGAAGGCCTCACGAGTGTTAGGCAGTGATGAACGACTTAGGATCCTGCTTCGAATGTCATCAAATTCAGGGTTCAATCCAGCAAGGAACTGAAAAACACGTTCCTTTTCAACATTATTTTTGTGTCGCGCAGCATCAGTGGAAGATGACCACTCCTCTTCGGTGATCATATCCAGTTCCTGCCACAGTCCAACGAGCTCCAACCAGTATTCTGTAACGGTGCGAGTGCCCTGCTTGATATTCCAGATTCTTGTTTTTAGATCATATAGACGTGCAAGGTCCTCGCCATCCGAATACGACTCGCGGACAGCATCCCACATGTCTTTAGCAGTAGGTAAATACATGAAGCTCCTTTTGAGGGAGGGTGACATAGCATTAATCAACCAGGAGCACACAAGGGAATCGTCCGTGAGCCATCGCTGCATCTCTGAAGACTTCGGGTCACTGGGTGCGGTTGACTCTCCAGTGATCAGACTGAGCTTGCCACGGCCACCAATGGCTAAACGCATAGCCTGAGCCCACTCCCTATAATTGCTGCCAATGAGTTTTTCCGATACAACGGCAATGGAAGAACCATCGACATTGATGGTCGACGCGGAGGGTGCATTGCTCGAACTCGAAACTTGCGCAGGGGATCCACCAGGAGGGTCCATCGTGGTCGGACGCTGCCTGGGGCTCAACCCAACTGGTGTGTCCTCCGACGTGGAGGACGAAGACGAGGAATTCGCCGGACTTGCTAAAGGACGACCGTCCACCGGCTCTAATACCATATAGACACTGTAATATATGGAAAATATTCACTTGTATATTCTGGGTGTTGCTGTACACTGTATATATAAGCAGAATGGGGATCGAGAGAGATTACAAATGAGATCGAGAGGGATTACAGAGATATTCTAGGGAATAAATCAAATTAAATCTGATTCCTATAATCCTCCTAATATCTCGGGAGATAATATTTCCATATATATATATATATATATATAAACTACAATCTTATATTTAAGTCTAAAATCAACTCAATAGGTCCTATATTAAGGATTAGAGGAGTATTAAAAATATCAGTTAAATTAATTAGTATGGTATATTTTTTTTAAAAAAAACATTTTAAGTGTTTTTCTTAATTCTTTTCCTTTTTTTTTTACTTGATTATTATTGAGGAAATATCAATAACATTAATTTTGGAAAAGAACTATAAGCACATGAAATAGACTTTATATATAGGGTTAATATTAATTCTCTAATTAGGTTTTACATGAAAGACGAGTACTTTTTTTTTTGGAGGGGGGATTATTTTAATAAATTGCATCCTTTGTGAATTATGTTTCTGATATTAAAAAAAAAAAAAAAAAGGTGAATTGGAGCTTAACGGGGAAAATGGCTTTTTTCTCATGTAAGCCCATTGAAGCCGGCCTTACAGGCCTGTCCTCTCACTTTTGGTCGTTGGCAATGTGGTGTGTATTTGTAACTTCTCGCCCTGATCTTATCCGGATAGTAGATACGGTAGGACCCTTTTACTTCTAATTCTGTTAACAAAGAACAAGAAAATGTACAGATTCAGTTCAAGTCTTAGTCTAACATTTCCTACCCTATGATATAAATTTGTGGTCCCCCCCCCCCCACTTTTTGAGTCAATTGAATAGTTTTATAACTTTCTTCTAATAAAAATCATCTAAATACTAGAAGGCAAGATAGATGAAGTAATTACAGCTCACGAGTATGTAATCATACTTGAATCATGAGAAACAATTACGAAAATCTTTGTCTTTTCACGGCAACAATTAATTTAACACACTCCAAGACGTGTAAATAATTGGACTTTTGAAGATTCTCTTCGCTCTGATTTTATTTATAAAATTTTATCAATTAGTATTAATGTAAGACACTAAGACCCTTTATAAAATTTAATGAAATATTTATAACGCATTTCAATTAATGTCCATACCAATTGAAGAATAAATCTGAAAATCTATAAAAATTTCCGACATTTAATCAATTCCAATACTATATTCGGTTCTTAATATAAAAGCTATATAATTAATTTAGAAAAATTAAAAAAATTAATTAAGTTAGTTATTTGTAACAAATATGAGTTGTCTTTTTTAAATTATCTTTATCCAATCATATATATTGAAATTATATTTGGGTGAAAATACTTCACAATTAATAAGGATATTTTTTTTACATCACATTATAAATTTTAAAGACAAAATGGATTAAAATCTTATATTTAGAACTGTTAATTAACTTTTATATTTAGAACAGAAGTTTTATATTTATAACAGGAGGCATTAGTTAAGAATTGGTGGGAGTAACATTTACACAAGTCATAGTTCATGAATGCGAATTCCCTGGATGAATTTCTGTGTGGGCCAATCGTTATCTTGTGAAGTTTGACTTGGATGAACAAACATACAATTATGTTAGGTTTGGATTTTATTGAAGCCTCCAATAATATGTTTTTCTTCTTCTTTTTTTTCCTAATCAATTAAACTTGGAACCTTTCGCATTCATCCTTGAATATTATAATATAGTTATACTTCACCTGCATTGAAGACTAAACTGGAATATTCCATGATTCTGCAAAGACTTTCTGGTAGGCCATTTTAGATATGGATCAGAGTTCTTTTATTAAAAAAAATTCAAAGAAAGTACATTCTCCCGATATAATATCCATGAATTATAATACAAATTCAATTGAAATTCAATCATTAATTTTTGGTTAATCGGCCTCTACAGTCTTAATCATTTTAAACATTTATTCCTAAAGTTTAAGAAATAATTTTAGTATTTTTAATAAATGGTTAAAATTATAGAAAGTAAACATAGATTGAAATGAATGATTATATTTTAAAAAGAAAATACCAATATTATATAGGGAAAATGACAATAAAATACCACTTGAATTTCAAAAAGACAAATAAGGCACCTGAATAAGCAAAATAACAAATAGGGCACTGGGTACCAATCTGGAATTCATATTTTCGGCCAAAAGACCAAAATGCCCTGATGAAATGCGGGAAGACAGACGCTGAAAGTGAGAGAAAGGAGAGAGGAAGACCGACGCTGATGAAATGCGGGAAGAAGGAAAGAAGAATGTTGGAAATGCTATTATCTTACTCCTTCGCATCACCATTCTGTAGAGATTGTTGATTTTGGTTGTGGGAAAGAGGATTTGTAGTGAGAGAGGGAGTGAACCGAAGCGGAAATCAGAAAACAATGGCAAGCAATTACGTAACATAACTGCTGTCATATGCCTGCTGGTTTTTGGTAAATCCCACTACGTGAATGGTAAATTTCACTATACATGTAGTTAATTATGAAAGTTAATAGTTCAATGTTTATTGTGACGTACTTCAAATCCACGTTCACTGAATGATTTATTTATGCTTATAAGTTGCCTTTCCGGTGAAAACAGGTTTACAAAACCCATTGAAGAAGTAGTCACTTTCACTATAAAAGTTGTAAATCCCAGTATATGTTTTGTAAAATTCAACGTGAAATTTTATTGGTTTTTACAAACAAGTTGCTCATCCCTTGAAAACTGGTTGCAAAAGCCATTTAAAAAGTGGTCATTTTCACTATAAAAATTGTAAATATCACTGTGTGTTTTGTAAAATTCAGCGTGAAATTTTATTGATTTTTAGAAACAAGTTGCTCATCCCCTGAAAAGAGGTTGCAAAACTCATTTAAGAAGTGGTAATTTTCACTATAAAAGTTGTAAATATCACTCTATGTTTTGTAAAATTCAGTATGGAATTTTATTGGTTTTTAGAAACAAGTTACCCATCCCCTGAAAACTGGTTGCAAAAGCCATTTAAGAAGTGGTCATTTTCACTATAAAAGTTGTAAATATCATTGTGTGTTTTGTAAAATTTAGTCTGGAATTTTATTGGTTTTTAGAAACAAGTTGCCCATTCCCTGAAAACTGGTTACAAAAGCCATTTAAGAAGTGGTCATTTTCACTATAGTGGTTGTAAATTTCACTATACATGTAGTTAATTATGAATTTTACAAAATACATATTGTGATTTACAACTTTTGTAGTGAAAGTGACTACTTTGTTAATGGGTTTTGCAACATGTTTTCAGGAGATAAACAACTTGTTTGTAAAAACCAATAAAATTTCACGTTGAATTTTACAAAACATATACTGGGATTTACAACTTTTATAGTGAAAGTGACTACTTCTTCAATGGGCTTTGTAAACCTGTTTTCACCGGAAAGGCAACTTATAAGCATAAATAAATCATTCAATGAACGTGCATTTGAAGTACGTCACAATAAACAATGAACTATTAACTTTCATAATTAACTACATGTATAGTGAAATTTACCATTCACGTAGTGGGATTTACCAAAAACCAGCAGGCATATGACAGCAATTACGTTACGTAATTGCTTGCCATTGTTTTCTGATTTTCGCTTCATCTTTCCCACAGGTTCATCTTTCCCACAGCTTCACATTCTCTGAAAATGGTTTTATGTGAAGAACAGAGACAGAACCAAAATTTTTTAGAGAAATGCTAGGCAATACCATTTTAAGCTGTGGGAACCCATCGAAAATCAGCGTCTTCCTCTCTCCTTCCTCTCTCCTTCCCGATTTCATCAGCGTCTTCCTCCTCTCCTTCCCGTATTTCATCAGTGTCTTCCTCTCTCCTTCCTCTCACTTTTAGACAGGGTATTTTGGTCTTTTAGCCAAAAATCTGAATTCCAGATTGGTACCCAGTCCCCTATATGTCATTTTGTTTATTCAGGTGCCTTATTTGTCTTTTTGAAATTCAGGTAGTATTTTATTGTCATTTTCCCTATTATATAATACAAATATATAGATATTTATTAGGGGATAAAATATGATATGATATCTTTGACATTCTGTCATCCTGTTTCAGTGTGTGTCAGATTGGAACCACTATAAATTGTTGAGTGTTGACCCTCATCTCTCTCCAATCCTCTCTCACTCTCGCGGGAAGCTATCGCCACCGGTCTAAAATGGCTCTCTCTGCTTCTTCGTTAATCACCAGCAAAACCTTCTCTACGCCGCGGCAATACTCTCCCCGCCACCCTCTTCTCCTCCCCGCCGCCGCCACCACCCGCCGATTCGTTGTTGTGGCCAATTCCGCCGAACCTGCCAAGTCGCCGGCCCCTTCCAAGGCCGCTCCGGTGCCAATTTCGACCCGATGGGCGCTCGATAGTTGGAAGACCAAGAAGGCCCTGCAGCTTCCTGAGTACCCTGATCAGAATGAGCTCGATCTGGTTCTCCAAACCATTGAATCTTTCCCTCCCATTGTGTTCGCCGGAGAGGCCAGAGCGCTCGAGGATAAATTAGGTCAGGCCGCCGTGGGCAAGGCCTTTCTGCTTCAGGGCGGGGACTGCGCTGAGAGCTTTAAGGAATTTAATGCCAATAACATTCGTGACACTTTCCGTGTTATTCTTCAGATGGGTGTCGTCCTGATGTTTGGTGGCCAAATGCCTGTTATAAAGGTTTTTTTTTTTTTTGCCTCCTTTTTCGTTTGATACCTTTCTTTCTTTAACGATTTCAAGCATGATGAAATTGGGAATTGGGAATTTATTTATAATTCGTTGCGGCTTAGGTCGGTGCTTATATTCATATGCCTGTTATAAGAATGTTGCATATTCTTCCTCTTGATAAATGTTTTAAAACTTCGGCTTTTATCTTATAAGGGTCAAAAGGGTAGGGCTTTTCGTGGGAAAAGAAGGCTATAATTGTTGGGGTTGAGCAGGATCTTCCATTAGACGATTAATAAAGCTGATATAGGCTATGAGTGTTTTCTGTTTCCAGATTGGAGATTCTTATCACTCACTTGATAGTTTGGAACTCATAGGATGTGGGATTGACAAACTTAAATTCTTGGGTATGCTGACGTAGGTGGGAAGAATGGCGGGTCAGTTTGCGAAGCCAAGATCAGACCCTTTTGAGGAGAGGGACGGAGTGAAGCTGCCAAGTTACAGGGGTGACAATGTGAATGGGGACGCATTTGATGCAGCATCAAGAATACCTGATCCTCAGAGGTTGATAAGAGCCTACTGTCAATCAGTGGCTACTTTGAACCTTCTGCGTGCGTTTGCCACAGGAGGGTATGCTGCCATGCAAAGGGTCAATCAGTGGAATCTCGATTTCATGGAGCACAGTGAGCAGGGTGATAGGTATATTATCCTAACATCTTTCCTGGTTCAATTTAGACTTCTTTCTGGTTTGGGTTATCGGATTAACACCCCCCTCCCCCCACACACAACCCCCCCCCCCAAAAAAAAAAAAAAATTCAGAGCTGTGTGGATGAATGTTATTGTATTACACCCCTTTTGCAGCTTGGTATCTCCATTATTCTCTGTCCTCTTCATCCTCCAATCTCCCCCATCTTCTTCCTTCTTTGAAACCAATCTATCGATCTCTTTCTATCTTTGTTGTTGTTTAAGCAAACGTATGGATGTTTTGGCTTGCGACATTTTGAGCATAGGAGGGGCAAATGATCTCTATGGCCTTTTATCCTGTGCTTTTTTATTTTGATCTATTGTCCTGTCTAGGACTGTGAAATGTATGGAACCTTTGACTTATGCCATTTAAGCAAAAGTATGGATGTTTTGGTTTATGGGCAAATGATCTCTATGGCCTTTTATCTTGTGCTTTTACTATTTTGGTCTATTGTCCTGTGTAGGACTCTGAAATGTATGGAACCTTTGATTTATGCCATTTTGCAATTTATACATTTGCTAGTTGATTCAGTGAAAAAACATTTGAATAGAGGAGATGAGTTTAATTTGTTCTCTGGCCTTTAATTTGGCAGAAGACAATGAATGGCTGATGTGGAAAAAATTGGGTTATCAATTTTGTTTTCAAATAGCACCCATCCATTTCATGCACGCATTATCTACAGTCAATATATGACTACAGATGATCTGCATCTGAAGGAAATGTAGCTATCCATTATAAGGAAATATTCTTCTGGTTATGTGTTGTATGTTTTAAAAGTTTTGAGATGGAGAAGCATACTTGGATTGAATTTAATACTCTTTTGGTGCTTAATATAAGACTTATTTAACTAATTTGATTAGATTAAGGAAGTTGGACAAGTTAGTTAATTATAAGAAATATAATATATTTTTTCTAAAACACCATAGTCATCTTCGTTAATATTCTCCTTTCTTCTCCTACTTAATTGTGGTTGAAGGAGTATCAATAGGGATAATTTAGAAAAAATTGATAGATATAAGAAATACAAGAGGAGTAATAATTATGTTCTTTGTAAATATTTTAGAAATTACAGTAGCTTCAGTTTTCTTGTACATGCAACTTAATTTAGCTAATCTGGTCTAGTTTCTTGTCACATACCAGCAATTGTTCTTTTACTTCTAAAGATAAATTAATCATTTCAGATAAGTGGACAATTTTGATTCTCAAGTTGTTTGTGCTCGAGGATTTTAGTTTTGCTTACTTTGTGCTCTTTCATAACAGGTACCGTGAATTGGCTCACCGAGTCGATGAGGCCCTTGGATTTATGAGTGTTGCTGGACTTACAGCTGATCATCCAATCATGACCACAACAGAGTTTTGGACCTCTCATGAGTGCTTGCATCTCGCTTATGAGCAAGCACTTACTAGAGAAGATTCTACCACTGGGCTTTTCTATGACTGCTCTGCTCACATGCTATGGGTAGGAGAACGTACCCGTCAACTTGATGGTGCTCATGTTGAATTCTTGAGAGGAGTTGCTAATCCACTTGGAATCAAGGTGCATTTGTTTCCTATTCCTTATTTATGTATAGGAACTTTTGTTTTATTGTTCCAGGTATATCTTCATACGGTATTATGTTTCTGTTTTACGTCACATCATCTGCTCATCACTATTACTTTTATAAGTTACATCGAGTAATTGTTTTGTAATTATCTGTTACTACTTCGTATCTTTAAGCATTTGACCTATGCTTCTATTTGAAGTGTCTTCTGTGGTTTGTTATAAATTAGTTACACAAGCAGAAAAGAAGGAAACAACTACTAAAGACCTACTTGTCTTTCAGGTGAGCGATAAAATGGATCCAGATCAACTTGTTAGGCTGATAGATATATTGAACCCAAGAAACAAGCCTGGAAGAATTACTGTGATAGTTAGAATGGGAGCTGAGAATATGAGAGTGAAGCTTCCTCATCTAATCAAGGCTGTTCGCGGAGCAGGTCAAATTGTCACTTGGGTCAGTGATCCCATGCATGGAAATACCATCAAAGCTCCATCTGGACTGAAAACTCGCTCTTTCGATGCGATAAGGGTAATATTGGTTCCATTTCCAATATTATGTATTCCTCATGATCATAGATTATTCGGCACGCACACACATGCACTAACTAGTTAAAAATATGGTCATGCAACCTTAAACTTTTTTGTTTTTTTTAAATAATCATAGTTCATTGGTCTTAGTTTTGTTCATACCATGCTTGAGGTCCTGTCACTACTGTAACTTCTCTCTCAGCAACTATGTAGCTCTCAAAAATGTTTAACACAAGGTTTTGCCAGATACCACCTCCTAGTCCCTAAGGGAGGTGGTATAGTGTTTTCTATCGTCATAGCTTAAATAATCTTATGCACTGCCTGTTTGATCCGGGAACTGCTTTGCAGTTTAGCAAATTTATGGTTTAAGTTCACGTGCATTCTTTTAACAACATTAAGTTGATTAGAGCTCTAATGTCTGCACAATATCTTCTCCTATTTGTTTTGGCCGTTTGTCTATCCCTACATTATCAGTACTTTCTTTTTTATGCACAAGATCTGTTTCTCCCCATCTTCTGATTTGCTCGCGCAATTGAAGTTTTGTTGCATCTAAAAATGAAGTTTGATCTTGTTGATAGGCTGAGGTGAGAGCATTCTTTGATGTGCATGATCAAGAAGGGAGCTACCCAGGAGGAGTTCATTTAGAAATGACGGGGCAGAATGTGACCGAATGCGTAGGAGGCTCACGAACTATTACTTATGACGACTTGAGCTCACGTTATCACACTCATTGTGATCCAAGATTGAATGCTTCTCAGTCTCTTGAACTGGCATTTATCATCGCGGAGAGGCTACGCAAGAGAAGGATGAGCTCAAATCAAACCCTGCTTTCATTCTGAGCCCAGAGGAGGAAGGAGCCTCTGCTTTGTTCTTGGATCAAAGCACAGGTACTGGTGTGTGAGTGTTGGCTGCTGAAATGAGTGCCGTAAGATCTGTAAGTATTAGCAATATTTGGATTGATCTATCTATGAGAGTATTACAGGGGAACCTAAACCAGTCCACACAGTAGTGAGTTTGCATCGGACAATAATTGCAGAATTTTGTACTAAGGTTGTATTAGTATTATTATGTATATCTTAGTTTGTGGGATCTGGTATGAGAGGCAGTTGAGTGACATCTTATGTATGAGCAGATTGATATTTATATTCAGATGTTCAATGAAAGAAAGGGAGAACTTCAGTTAAGGACCGCCGAAGACAATTTATATCAATCAAGGACTAAAATTTTCTGAAATTTCATTGCAGGACTAAGGGACGAAATTGAAATTAAAATTTAGAATGAGATTACGGTAATGCTCCTCTCTTTTTATTTTATTAAAAAATAAATATTAACCAGAGATACTGTTCGGGCCATCGGCGCTCAGGTGACCGTTGCCGGGAGTTCGGCCACTGGTGGCTGGAACAGTAGTTTCGGCCGGCTTTCGATGGCCGAAATTTTTTTTGTTTAAAACAAGGTGGCCAAAGGAGGGTTTGAACCCATGACCCCTTGGCACACCAAAAAGTTTACAACCACCAAGCCAAGTAACCCATTCAAATATAAAATGCAAATAAAAATATATATAACAAAACAAACACAACTGTTTGAGTATAAGTGAACAAGTGAAATTAGACGATTTACAAATGGAATTCAGCAATTTACAACAAAAATTAGATAGTCTACAAATAACATAATAGAAGTCATGATCCCAAATGCAAGTGTTTAAGTGCAAATGAGCAAGTGAAATTTGAAGATTTACAACAAAAGTTTATGGATTTACAACCAAAATTTGGCAAACACAAGAGAATGCACAATCCAAAATGTAAGTGTTTGAGTGTAAGTGAACAAGTGAAATTTGACGATTTACAAGTGGAATTCAGCAATTCACAACAAAAATTAGGCAATCTACAAATAACATAATAGAAGTCATAATCCCAAATGCAAGTGTTTAAGCGCAAATGAACAAGTGAAATTTGAAGATTTACATTAAAAGTTTATGGATTTACAACTCAAATTTGGCAAACACAAGAGAATGCACAACCCAAAATGTAAGTATTTGAGTGTAAGCGAACAAGTGAAATTTGACAATTTATAAGTGGAATTCAGCAATTTACAACAAAAATTAGGCAATTTACAAATAACATAATCGAAGTCATAATTCAAAATACAAGTATTTAAGTACAAATAAGCAAGTGAAATTTGAATATTTACCACAAACGTTTATGGATTTACAACCCAAATTTGGCAAACACAAGAAAATTTACAACCCAAAATGTAAGTGTTTGAGTATAAGTGAACAAGTGAAATTAGATGATTTACAAGTGGAATTCAGCAATTTACAACAAAAATTAAGCAATCTATAAATAACATAATAGAAGTCATAATCTCAAATGCAAGTGTTTAAGTGCAAATGAGCAAGTGAAATTTGAAGATTTACAATAAAAGTTTATGGATTTACAACTCAAATTTGGCAAAAACAAAAGAATGCACAACCCAAAATGTAAGTGTTTGAGTGTAAGTGAACAAGTGAAATTCGACGATTTACAAGTGGAATTCAGCAATTTACAACAAAAATTAGGCAATTTACAAATAACATAATTGAAGTCATAACCCCAAATGCAAGTGTTTGAGTGCAAATGAGCAAGTGAAATTTGAATATTTACAACAAAAATTTATGGATTTGCAAGTGAAATTCGACAATTTTCAACAAAAATTAGGAAATTTACAAATAATACAATGGAACTCACAATCTTAAATACAAGTGTTTAAGTGTAAATAAGCAAATGAAATTTGAAGATTTACAACAAAAGTTTATAGATTTGCAAGAGAATTTCACTTGCTCATTTGCACTTAAACACTTGCATTTGAGGTTATGACTTCGATTATGTTATTTGTAAATTGCCTAATTTTTGTTATAAATTGCTGAATTTCACTTGTAAATCGTCGAATTTCACTTGTTCACTTACACTCAAACACTTACATTTTGGGTTGTGCATTCTCTTGTTTTTGCCAAATTTGGGTTGTAAATCCATAAACTTTTATTGTAAATCTTCAAATTTCACTTGCTCATTTGTACTTAAACACTTGCATTTGGGATTATGACTTCTATTATGTTATTTGTAGATTGCCTAATTTTTGTTGTAAATTGCTGAATTCCACTTGTAAATCGTCTAATTTCACTTGTTCACTTATACTCAAACAGTTGCGTTTGTTTTGTTATATATATTTTTATTTGCATCTTATATTTGAATGGGTTGCTTGGCTTGGTGGTTGTAAATTTTTTAGTGTGCCAAGGGGTCATGGGTTTAAACCCTCCCTTGGCCACCTTGTTTTAAATAAAACAAATTCCGACCATCGGAGGCCAGCCGGAGCTACTGTTCCGGCCACCGGTGGCCGGACTCCCGGCGGCGCCACCTGAGCACCGGTGGCTGGACCTCCGACTTCCGGTGGTCGAAACAGTATCTCCGGTTAATATTTATTTTTTAATAAAATAAAAAGGGAGGGGTATTATTGTAATCTCATTCTAAATTTTAATTTCAATTTGGTCCCTTGGTCCTGCAGTGAAATTTCAGAAAATTTTGATCCTTGATTGATATCAATCGTCTTCTGCAGTCTTTAACTGAAATTCTCCCGTGAAGAAATTATGTACTGGCAGGTTCAAATTAACGACACCCACAATATAATATCGTTATATTCTCTTTCTGTTGTTTTTTTTTTTTCTTGCCTAAATCTCTTGTTATTTTGTTATCCCCAGTATGGATGTTGTATATCCTTTTTTCCTCATTGTCTCTTCATTCCATTCTATCACTCTTTCTTGCTATTAGTATGTTATATTCACAAATCACAATATAACAATCTTTCTGCTACTATGTTATATCCATATAGATTAGTTACATCTTTTACTATATTCTGATTTATTTTATTTTCATATTATTGTCGAACAAAATACTCCCTTCTGTTCTATATATAAGTTTCAAATAACCAAATCACGTTTGACAAACTAGTAGTTAAAATTAGTTAAAAATAATAAATAAGTCAGAAATATACTTTTTTTTAAAATTTGCCCCTATTTATTGAAAGAGTAAATGAGAAAAGCAATAAATGAAAAAACAATGAAAGAGAATATATGGAGGCGATATTAATGAAAGAGAGGGAGTACTAAATACAGTCAACGGGTAAAATAAGAAAAAAAAAGTAATAAATACTCAAAAATGAAGTCTATATTTTAAACCAGACTCTTCTCAAAAATTAAAGCTTATATATAGGACTAGAGGAGTAATATGTTAATTTGTAACTATCTCTATAACTAACGAAATGCATTAACATACGCAACCAACCTTAATCAAGTCTAGGCCAGAATTATGCATCCTTCAATGGCTACACGATACACATTATTAAATCTTGTTTGCTCGGACCAGTTAATTAGCTTCTTAGTATGGCAGTCTAAGGGAAACATAATGATCCAAAGTAACTCATATTTTAATTTATCAACACTTTCTTCAAGTTTTCGCATTTTATGTTTCGTGCAAAATGAAGTCTTTATATAAACCGTTCAATCTTTATCGTTAATGGCCACTAGCTTTCACCATTCAAGTGTATAAAATTTTATTCTTTCAAGTCCAGTCGAGTGAGAGTGCTTCTTAAATGTTTTAAACAGCAAGTCCAGTGGAGTGAGAGTGCTTCTTAGGGGGTGTTTGGATGAAGTCAAATCATGGTTTGGAGAATAGTTTCTGGAGAATAGATTTTCTGAAAAAGTGATTCTGATAAAGTGAGAGTATTTGGATAGTTGTTGTCAGAAGTACTTTTTTATTATAGAAATTACTAAAAAGAATATAAGTTTAAATGATAATTACATATAAGATATATTTCATAATATATGTTTATTTGAAGTAATAAATTTGTTAATAATATATATTTTGGCAACATAATAAATAAGACATAAATAATATAAATAAAAAAATTAATACGTATATATATTAATAAAATAAGTAAATATGTTTTTTGTAAAATAATTTATTTTGCCAACAAAAAAATATGATTATTTCTTACCAGGAGCTCGGTGAAGAGTGAAGGAGGAAGCAAATAATTGACGCCTGCTTTGTGTAATATTCCCTGGGCTCACCACTAACGTTCAATAATTTGAAGCAAAAGCAGTTCCTAGTGGCTTTATCCGAAACCATATATGGATGCTTGGTCATTTAAACATATGCTCATACTTTACGAACATTTATCATGACGAAAAATCAGGGCAAATTTTTGGGCAACGACAGCATATGACTTTTGTCAAAAATTTGATGATGTATATAAATATTCTTGAATTATCTAATAATTTTATTTTATGTATTTTTATTTATTTTAAATTTCTTATTTTCATTTTTTTTCTCCTTCTTAGTATCTAGAGACATGATTCTTGGCATGTTTGAAATATAAGATTTAAAGGTAATTTAGGAAAATTTAACTCTTTAATTAGAATATCGTGTTAATTAATTGCATTGGAGGACGATAATTTTATTCTAAGAGGTGACTCCATTTTTTCCAAGACGGCTGGTGATGAAGAGGGTTAATTATTGGATAACATTTGAAGAGTTAAACTTATATATTTCTAATGCCACCGTTTTTATGTCAACGATATTCGTATAGGCAGACTTGAAGATGTCCAAATTTGTGTTAAATTAGATATATGCCTTTAACTCACAAGAAGTTAGACATCTACACTTGTGCATATATGTATGCCAAATATTATTAATTTTTATAGTGATATGTATGATCATCATGAAAAATATGGATATGCACATCAGTATTTGATATTTGAATATTATGATTTTACCTTGAAGCATTTTATCAACCAGAGAGAATGATAATTTTATTGTCAAAATTTACGACTTCAAGCAACTAATCGGGCATACTAAAAAACAAGATACATAGACATATATATATACACACACACACACACACGCACGCACAATTATACACATATATAACTTTTTTTTTTTCGTTAACTTTTTTAATCAAATTAGCTTAGAATTATTGGAAGAAGGATATGTGCGTGTGTTAAGATTTTAATGTACTAGTATTAGAACTCGATACCATATTTTTTGGTGCCAAAATAAATATACACACCATATTTGGAATTTAAATTAGATGTGAATGAAGGCCGGCTTTTGTAATACCTTGATATGTTTAATTC